AATGACTGGTTACTTTCTTTAAACGGTGTGACACGGCGTGCATATAAGAGATAAGGACGAACTCAAGTTCATCGTATATGTCGGGTCGTATGTGACTGTCTATGTACCTCAAACCTTTCCGCGGGGAGAATCAACGAAAAAACTTATTTAAATCCTAGCTACAACCAAGAAGCAACCGCACAATATATATATATATATATATATATATATATATATATATATATATATATATATATATATATATATATATATATATATATATATATATATATATATATATATATATATATATATATATATATATATATATATATGTGAGTGTTCAGAATCGTCTACACTTGATTTTTCATGTTTTGTGCGGCTTAATGTAGGCTTCGCGAATCTTTTCTTTTGTATTTTGTAGCCGTGTGTACGCTAAAAAAAACACGAGTACTTAATACACAGAAAGGTTAACACTGTCTTATCGTACGTTTTTCACAGAGTAACAACTCATTTATAAGCATTTCTCGCCTCATGAGTAAAGTGTTGCGTTCTGAAATATACCTCAATAGGCTATTAACAAGCACACACACAAATAGCGCTATATATTTTAGGCAACTGTGAGCTACCTGGATTAGGCGATGTTGTGTCAAAGTAAATCAATATATTTTTAAAACTCAACCTTTCGAGAGCTGGAGCAACCTATATAATCAAAGCGAGGCAACTGTGGTGTAGCCGCGTTTTCGGCTCAAGCCGTGGTCAACTTTATTATATTCTTTTTTATTTTACTACTTTTTAAGCTCTATGTTTGTACATTTGGTGCACGTTTATTTTGTGGTGTCCGGGTAATTTATTGCACTTCCAAAGCTTCTTTTCTTTTATGTTTTGTAATCTTTGTACTACACCAGAAAAGTATTTTTTTTTAACAACAACTGCAATGGTCGGGGAGTAATCGCCTAACCGCACTCAACGACATTACACAACATTATAGACTAAACAGACACTAATACCCACCACTACACAACAAATTCGACAAAAGACCAACCGTGACTCTGAGGTTATCACAGACAAATACGTACCCCAGCCCGCTGATCCTACGCCTGTGTTATTCGAACCTATACCCGACGGACGAGTGTAAAGCGTGCGGGGAAAGGGTCACACAGCGGCACATGCTTTGGCAGTGTGCTGGAAACGTTAACGTCACTGCCGCCGCTCCCTTCGCGACGCATAATAGGCAGGGACGAACTGCGAGGTCAATTGCTGCTGCAACCACCGCGCGAGGGCAGGGGCCGGCCTCCGCCGCGGCTGCGGTCACTTTTGCCGATCGGCGGCGTCCGCTGGGAGGCGGCACTCACCAGCGACGAGCTGGCCGACCAGCTTAGGGCCGTCCGGCAAGCTGAAGATGCCGCCCGTGTCCAAGAACTTCGAGCGGTCACCTGAGGCACCACCACCGTAATCTACGGAGAGTGGGAAGAGACAGGGGTTAATCCCCTCTTCCCCCAACTCGCCCGGGAAAACTGCCGGACTTTAAATAAAGTTCATTCATTCATTAATTCATTCATTCATGAAAACTTTGACATCCAGACCTTATTCACATGAAATACAGTAAAACAGCATTGATGTTTACCAAATATTTTATGAATTTCGGGGTGATAACAATTTCCTGTGGCTTTGGCCAAAGCACATGGACCTGCAATGTGTTGAAGTTCAGGTGCTGCGACCCGCTTTTCACATCAGCTGCATTAAAACGGCTGTTTTTCCTTCGTAGAAGTCTGGCTTCCGCGCAACCTGAAACGAAACTTCTAGCCTACAAAGCGTTCGTCAGACCTGTCTTAGAATATTCAAACGTCACGTGGTTTCCCTTTACAAACAATCTCATAAATGCCCTAGAACGAATGCAACGAAAAGCGATAAGATTTCTATATAACAAGTACAGAATAACTGACTCACCCAGAGAACATTTAAAAAAAGCAGGTCTCTTAACAATAAAAAACCGCGCTAAACTGGCACGTCAGAAATTCCTATATCAGTTAGTTCACCAACAGCTAAACATAGACAGTTCAAAGTACATGTCATTTAAAGAAACAAGGCCAACACGACAAAAGCATTCTCAGACACTGAATGAAAATCAGTTCCGGATGGAATGTCTGAAATATTCTTTTTTTCCACTAGCAATTCGCGAGTGGAATAACTTGCCAATCAGTATAACAAACAGTCAATCATTGGAAACTTTTTCATCCCTGGTCGAATGTTATTTATTGTCTTCAGAATTGACGAACTATGTTTTTTTCTTGTCCACTGATTGAAGTGCTCACTATTCTTTTTTTTTTCCAGGACTAGTTGGAATTGATGTCCTATGGTACTGAATGTATTTTAGTGGTACTGATGTAGTCATAAAATGTATTTGTGTCGGCTTTGTCTCGCTCGTTATTAGAATAATTCAGTGAGTACCCTCTGTATAAATCTTGCCCTTTCACAATGTATGTGCCCTTCCTGCAATAATCCCTATTTTGGATTGGCAGTATATGTAAATAAATAAATAAATAAATAAATAAATAAATAAATAAATAAAAAATACGAACGTAAGCGGCCGCAAAGTTACGAACAGGTGCAGCCAGCCCTGTCGCAGAAGGCGCGACAATGATTTCCGAGCGGAACACTATAATACATGCCTACCAAACCACAAGTTGCCTATCGGTGGAGCATTGGCACCTTCGAGATAGTGCACTCGAATTTCAGTGGCCTTGAAGGAGCCCTGCAACACTTTTTCAAGTAGCCATGGAATGAATTACCCAAAGAAACTTTTTGCCTCTCAAATTCACCACCACCACAATTTTTTTTATAGTGAAGCATTTCTTAACGAACTTCGGTGACTTTGAGCGTATCTATCTATCTATCTATCTATCTATCTATCTATCTATCTATCTATCTATCGATCTATCTATCTATCTATCTATCTATCTATCTATCTATCTATCTATCTATCTATCTATCTATCTATCTATCTATCTATCTATCTATCTATCTAGCCGTCTACGACGTTTAGCTCTCCTGGCCGTTCCGGTAATGGTATCGATACCAAAATTGGTATGGCATTACATGACTGTATGAGGAACATATTTGACTAGTCAAAACCTAAAGATGTGACATGTATGTCATGAATGTCATGGTTTACGTTTCATGGTCCTGCAGCTTTTGTGGCAGTTTCGTTCACTTGTCATGTTGCAAAACTGGTATGGTATGGCATGATTGCAAGGCGAACACAAGCGACCGACTCTGACATGAAAATTCTGACATGCATGTCATGTAACAACATGACTACATACCACGCTCATGATGCGATCGTGGCCGTTTCGATAGCGTCACATATTTGGTATTACAGTACGTGAATGGATGACGAAGGTATGTGACTGGTGCAAACATGATAATCATGAGATGTGTGTCAAGTAACAAAATGACTACATGCCTCGCTCATGATGCGCTGGCGGCCACTTCATTAGCTTCACTTATACCAAATTTAGTATTATGAGAGGTGAATGGGTGACGAAGGTATGATACTAGTGCAAACATGATAAACATGAGATGCGTGTCATGTAACAACATGAGTACATGCGACGCTTATGATGCGCTCGCGGCCATTTCGCTACCTTCACATGTACCAAAGTCGATATTACGCGACGCGAATGAGCAACATAGGTAATTGACACATCCAAACTTGATAATCACGACATGCATGTCCTGCAACGACATGACTACATGCCACACTCATGATGCGCTCGCGGCCGTTTCATTAGCTTCACATGTGCCAAATTTGGTATTACATGACGCCAATGAATCACGAAGGTATGTGACTGGTGCAAACATGATAATCATGAGATGAATGTCATGTGAGAACATGACTACATGCCACAGTCAAGGCGCCAATACATTTCGACGGTACGCGGTGCGCGTGCTCGTCAATGTTCATTTCGTCGCGTCACGCCGGCGTTGCCGCGCCAGGCGCCGTTCCTGTCACATACTCAAGGCCACGTGCCGCGCTGCGTTGCTTTGACGCATGCGCGTTGCAGTGCGTCTGGTATACCTCCGTCACGAAAAGAGGGAGACGTAGTGTTGACTGGGTAACGCATCGGCGCCAAATGCAGCATGTCACCTTCCGCGCCGGTTGCCGTCGGGCCACGCCGACGGACGTTGGTCGCGCCTGGCGTCAGACTTTAGAGTGCTCGCATTTTGCTATAGCCTGCGCGCGCGTCAACGCTACGACGCAGTATAATGGGACCGTCATGATGCGCTCGTGGCCGTTTTGCTAGCTCCACATATACCAAGTGTGATGTTACGTGACGTCAATGAATTAGGAAATATGTGACTGGTGTAAACAAGATAATCTTGACAGGCGTGTCATGTGAGAACATGACAACATACCACGGTCATAGCGTGCTCGCGGCCGTTTCTCTAGCTCCACATATACTAAATTCGGTATCCCGTGATGTTCATGGATGACGAAGGTAAACGACACACCTAAACATGATGATCATGACACGTAAGTGATGCACGGCATCATTCATGTTCACTTCGTAACGTTGGGCTGATTCTAAATATCAATACAATATTTTTATGACATATCAATATTTCTCATTTGTGCTTTGCATATCATCGATTCGCTCAGTACGTGGACTCTGCCATTTTTTTTTTTTTAGAATCCGTCCTGTGCGAGCTGAGTTACAAAAAGTTTTCGCACTTTGCAATTGCATTCTCTTCTCTCTTCCCGACGAAAGCACTGTAAGCTAAGCAGGGATGAATGGCATAGGGTGGTGGTGGTGGTAGTGGTTAGAAGAGGAAAAAGGCACCTAATTTCTGCAGCCCGGTAGGGAGCATGGCACAGTGCCTCAATGGCAAAGTAAAGAAAACATGTCACGCGTGCCGCGTCACTTTTAGCGCTTTCTCTTTCTCTCCCTTGTTTTTTTTTTTTGTTTTCTTTTGTTCGAATACGCGGCTTTCGAGTGCAATCACGCATGCACGCACAGACCAGGTGCGGCATCCCGTGGCAGCCCCCGTAACTAGCGAGCACTCCATGATCAAATCAGTCAGTGGCTGACACAGCGGGTCTGACAAGTGGTATTGAAGCTTCTGGAGTCCTTTGTTGAGAGAAAAGAAAGAGATTTTTAGCTGATCCAGCAAAAATATTTTTGAGTTCCAGGCCGCGTGCTGCGCTGTGATATTTGGCTCACGTGTTCTAGGGAGCCTCAACTACCGATCGGCCGCGTTGTCTGACCATGCTCGAAAAGTGTTTATAACCTTTATTATTTAAAAAAATCGTTGAATAACCCTTTGATCTTCAAAATTTTGTTTCAATGCACACAATCAAGAAAACTTCGGCATGTATCAAGCAAAATCAAAATACGCCAATAAGGTGTCAGAAAAAAGTTTGGCTTATTTCTAGGTGAGTAATGAGTATTTGCTTCTGAGCAACATTGGACATATGTGGTACTACTTCACGTGGAATTTCTGGAAGGAGCTTCGGCCAAGAATCATAGGTATAGAAATGTTGCACTTAGCGTAGTTAGTGAATATCTACTAGAACATGCAGAACTTCCTTGGGTTCTTCATTTTGCCGTAGTGGGGCAAGTATTAATGCTAGCATGTACTACAGGTGTTGAGAGGTGAAATAACAAGATGTCTCATAATGCTAACACCTCGAAAGTAGCTTGCTTCCAACTTCCAACCCATTACAAAAGTCTCAGCTATAGCTCTTAATCATTTCGAGCAATATATAGCATCGATAAACTTCACATAATCCCTTACAGATGTGTAGCGGGTATCTCACGTCTCCGCAGAGTGAGGAATGTTGGCGTAGAGGGTGACCCGCTAAACTGCAGATATTTTGACGATTTATGGCGTAGGGTGCGCTTCGCAAGCGTACTTGTGGTAGCCAGCCGAAGAGTGCTTCCTACGCGGTGTAGAAAAGCACCTCTTTCAGTTTCCACTGTAGCTGCGCTCCGTGTTCCACACAGGCCTAGATTTTTTTTTTTTTTTTTGCCGTCGCTATGACGAAAAGTATGGTCTTGTGAATAACATATAATGTATACTGTGGAAATATTGCTTTGTTGTATCTTGGCTTTTTTTTTATTCTGCTCAGCATAAGGTTACTACAAACGTATCTTCCTTTATGTGCTTTCACAAGCCCATATGCCCACTGTTGCTCGTGGGCAACAACACTTATGGCGGGAATCTTTTTGCCGTGTAACATGTGGCAACGTCCTTGATAGTGCTAAAAAAATGTTCTACAGTCCACTATCAGTCATTTAAAATCTAACATGCCTCGCAGAAGCACACCATTTTGCTGGCATGTACTGAAATTATTTGCTTGTGTGGAGCTTTCCTAGCCACCCCTCAGACGCTCGAACAAAACTAAAGAAAGGGGATGCTGCCACTGCTATGTAATTGATTAAGGCCCAAGACTCTCGGCAGTGTTCGCCTCTTTCCGCAGAAGGCGCTACAGGTATAATAAAGCAGGGTGAGTTTGCGGGGAAAAAGTAATTTTAGAGTTGTTGCTCCAGAACACTACTGACATCACAGGGTGCGCCACCACGTGCCCTCGCGTTCCGACTGCAGATGGCCTTGACCTCACGTCCTTTTTTTTTTCTCTTATTTAAAGCATGAACATCCGCTGTTGTGCTCAAGGTAGTGTCAATGTACTATGTTTGCCCAGACCTGCCACGTAAATGGAAGGACGTGCCGCAGTCATACACCCTATAAAGGATTGACGAGGATTGAAAAAAAAGAAAATGGGACGGTCTTGGCTAGGCCTCGCTACGTCAATGTGAAGCCGTCCAACTCTCCGACTTACAACGGCGACTACCTAATTTTCATCAACCCTACTGATTGTGCGTGCTCAATTGCGAATCTCCGGTAACACGTCCCACACACTACTTGGACAAGAAAACCAGAAAAAAAAAACAGCCGTTTTGAAAAGTTTCAAAGTCGCTTTTGCCACGATACGGTACTGTGCAGTGGCAAAGCAGGTAATATTTGAAGGGGCAACCAGTTTTCATTGGTCACAACACACATGCTTGAATGATTTCACACGTGCGTGCGCACCATATATTTGCCATGTCACGTATGACTTGTGACAACTAAAAGCATTACTGTCAATCAGTTGGAGTTGTTCACGATGCTCTGAGAAACAATAACTGAAAGTGTGCACTAGCAAGCATTGGTTGCAAACTAATTTTTCGTAGTTTATGTACTTGGAATTTTCAGAAAATACGAAGATTGTTGGTTACCAATTTATACTGAAGTTAGCGTGATTTTACTACAAAATGTACAAAAAATCGAAGAACTTTTCTCTTTTCTTGGTGTAAATACTTGAAGCAAAATAATGCAATTTTCCGCAATGAGTACTGAATAAGCATCTAGTAAAAAGTCGTAAATATTCCCAGTATTGCACTGCTAAAAACCTTAGTTTTAATAATGGTAATAGTCTTTTTCACCTCAAGTCTGCAAGCGTTTGTTTAAAATAGGAGCTTTAATGCTACAAAACGTTTTCCAGCATATCTGACTCAACACTACGGGACTATTATTCTATATATAAGTTAGACACTTTATTGTGTTGATCGAGCGTTGGACGTCCTCGCGTACTGCAATCTGAGAGAATGTAGCTCCGTCAGAGAGAAACGATTTCAAATATACAAAATGAACACATTAAAATCTAATTTATTACACATCAGAGTTTTCTCCATGCAATTTGACATGGGCTTACATCTGCAGCATTCTCATGTTTTGGAAGCGCCATGCCATATAACTATCATCGCATTTCCGTTCCTTCTAGCTAACATAAAATTTGCGTCTACACCAGCGTAAACAAGGGTAGGAGCAAGAGAGCACAGACACCAGGGCAATATTTTGAACGCAAAATGTTTTGTCGTTCACTTCAAGAGTGGCCATGCCTGCAGGACGACCCTCTTTCATTAATATTTCTTAGCTTGTAATTTTGTGTAATTTCGTGACTACGGATGCAAACATTGCTTACCCTACCTTATCAATCTAGGAAGTGCTTAGAAGCGCAGCTATTCATAGCACGCAACACAGTTATTATATACATTCGTTACTGAATAAAGCTAACGGCGCGTATTGTAGAGTTATTACACGTGATGAGGACGTTGAGGAAGACAGCAGTCGGTGTGTCCAAGACAAAACTGTTTCTCGGGCCGAACCTGTTGACAGAAAGTTCAATTGCAGCAATGTGCTGCAATCCATCTGATAGCGGAGGACAGAGCATCGACCTGTCGATCCACATATCCAAAAGAACTTGGTTTTGGGCAAGTTGGGGCTTGCATGGCTGAAGTACGCTTGAGCGTGGCACAAATTGCAATTAGCGAAAAACTGAGGGAAGGGAGGAATCTGATGAACTGATTACCGTTGAGACGCGCTGTTTTTTCATGCATCACGCATCGACCTTTCCAGCTTTATCACTGGTGGCCGCACAAGCTCTCGAAAAACGTTATGTATTCGCGTCCTGTGCGCACTCTTTACAAGATGGTCTACTGCAAATGTGAAGCTTCTCAAACACTGAGGTGCACTGTGTGCCGAGTGTTGCTCAAGGTCTTTGTTGGTTTAAACCAAGCACATAAAAATAATCCGCGTGGCACTATATACTTTTAAAACGTGCCACCACGCCTCGTGCAGATTCTTCATCACTTACTGAAAATTACAGAACGCACAGTTTCGCCATCAATGCCTTACCCTGTGAGTACTGCTTGTATGTAGAAAAGTTTATTTCATAAATACTTTCGAGCTGTACACGCATCCATTTTAATATCCAACAATGTCAGTCATACATTGCAAGGAGCTCTTCCCGCGAACACGTTGCACAATTTACAAAGTTAATTTTGGTGCCCTGACACGTCACCATGAAACCGCTTCCAGTATCATTCTGCATATTTGGGGCGTCAATAGCTAACAAGCGATTTACCGACATTAATCCAGCGCAGACGTTTTTGCCATCCACCAAATTTCGCGTCATTCATGAAGCTATGCGAAATATTGTGTCGACTGTGAATACTTACTCAAATGCGGTTTTTTAGTCTCTATATTGACTGAAAAGGGTTATCTTACCCAAAAGGCTCGCACACATACGTTTATGGTGTCGCATCTAATCGACAAACTGCTGCTACAGGGCTGGCATAACTAATACAGCCCTGAAAGTCGTGTATTGAATTACCCATGTATACTTAACAGCGCTACTTTATTCAGTGTATAGCGCGAACAAGACGCGCACTCATCTAAATTCTGGAGTAGAAGAGAAAGCATTAAAGAGAAATCACCGGTCCGAGTCGTTCGACTCGGACCGGTGTACTCTTTCACTTTCCCTGAGATCAATGACGCCTTGAGGGACGCACAGTCACCCCACACGAATGGCGCGTACGTTGCAAGCGGCCATATCTCAACGCTCTCACTCCGTTAGCATCTTGAACGCCCACTACAAAGTGTGTTCTCTCTCTCTCCTTACGAGTGCGCATATTTCGTCATCGCTTTTGCCTACGGGAGGAGAGAGTCGCGAGTGTTCGAGAAGCGGGGCTGAAAAAAGGAGGGAGCTAGTACTCGAGAATAAAAAAAGTGAAAAAAAAACACGTTACAACAGAACTAAAGTGCGATCCGCATTCTCCCTTCGGAAAATAAAGTGGAGTGCGTTCTTAACCGGATCTTTATGGTTCTTCGTGCGTGCATCGAACTACGAGCGAAATGGTGACTGGGGCTGTCACCTCTTCTTTTTTAAATTCTCTCTCTCACCGTCTAAGTACCCTTTCCCTGTAGCTTTCACTCGTCTCGTGTAGGGTATAAAAGTGGTTCGAAGAGATGGCCACTTCAGGACTCCTTCGTTAGCCAACGGTACCACTGCCAGCAACATGGTAAGACCAAGCCCCCTTCAAATATTGCGCCTTAGGTCAATCTAAAGTGCTCGCCGCACTGTGGCAGCGAATTCAGTTTCTGCTGCACACCCACTTCATAACTCCCGTTGCAAGTCATTACCCAGAATTCACATGAAATTCACGAACTGAAATACTGTAGCACTCACGATAGTTCGACACTGGACAACTTCTAAAAAGCGCTCTAAGGATTCATTTAAGCTCATTCCTGATTCATCAGCATTGGTATTTCGGCAGTTATTTATTGGATGTTCGAAATCCAAAATTTCACGGGCTCCGTACCTGAACTTTCTCCTCGCCTTCCGCGGAGTATAATTCACGACAGCGAGTGCACTCTTGCAAAAAAACAGAGTTCGCAGAATCAAGTGGTCATATGCAGGGTATTATCCTTTTAAAAATCTTAATCATTGGCGGCTTACAAATTGAGCATAGTGCTCCAGATGATAATCCACCGAAACAGCTAACTTTATTAATGTACTTATACGAGTGTATGTGCATAAAACTTCTTGTTAATACAACTGAGTGGTCTTGACAATCGAAACATTCGAAGGATTACTCTGAATAATGACGTCTTCAGTGTAAACCACCGGCGTGTTTTCAACGACGTAAAAAATGTCCTCCGCCTTGTGTTACTCAACTCCAGCCCATGTTAGTCGTAAAATCCCCCATGAGTTCACATTTGCGATAAACTAACAAAATACAATCGATAATACTAAGGATTGTCAGGAACGCTAATAATGTCTGCACTACTGACAGAAACAGTATGTGCCCCTTTCCAGCCAAGGCATATTCTTTCGGCGTACACAGTAAAATGAAAAGACCTATGTAAGTGTTGTTCAATGGGAGCAACTTTTAGAACGAGTAACAACTCCTGGCAAAGAAAAGTCGAGCACCTACACATAATTCTACAAGTGGGTGAAGTTCGCTGCCTGTGCAGGCACTCGTCCATAGTCTACTTCACATTCGGTGTTACATAATTCGAGCTGAAAGAATGCTGTCACTTATAGGTGACAAGCCCCCATCCTTCACAGCTTTTTTTCTTCATAGCAGGCTTACATGTTCGGTATAGCCATATCCTCAATTAATGATCAACTATTGTGGAGTGCTTAGTCATGATGAAAGCCGCATATCTTAGGTCAGCAATATTGCCCTACCCCTTAGTCAGAAATGTATTCCTATAGAACCAATAGCCATGAGGACTTTTCCTTTATATATTCTGCCCAATTCAAAGGATTCCAACTTTAACGACGTTTTTTACAGTTCCGCGTCTGCGTCGTCCTCGCCCTGGCCTCCAGCGCCCTTGCTGGATTCATAAACGGTGGCCACGGCTTCGGCAATGGCGTTGGTCTCTCCAGCTATGGTCTTAGCCACGGTATTGGCTACTCCGGCCTCACCGGCTTCGGTCTCGGCAGCGGCCTTGCCTACGGACCAGCTGCCAGCTATGCTGTTGCCGCCCCATCTGTTTCTCGTACTATCTCAACCTACCATGCTGCTCCAGCTGTGAGCGCTACTTATGCGGCTGCACCAGTCGCCACCGTGGCCGCTGCCCCAGCTGTTTCGACTACTTACCACGCGGCTCCAGCTGTCGCCACCGTCGCTGCTGCTCCAGCCGTCTCCCGCGTGACCACCTACCAGTCGGCACCAGCTGTCGCTACCTATGCTGCCCCAGCTGTTTCCCGCGTCACCTACCAGGCTGCCCCTGCTGTGACTAAGGTTTACCAGTCTGCTCCAGTTGTGGCTGCTGCCCCAGCTGTTTCTACCACTTATCACGCTGCCCCAGCTGTTGCCACGGTTGCTGCTGCTCCAGCCGTGTCCCGCATCACCACCTACCAGTCGGCTCCTGCTGTCGCTACCTATGCCGCCCCAGCTGTCTCCCGCGTGACCTACCAGTCGGCTCCAGCTGTGACCAAGGTGTACCAGTCCGCCCCTGTTGTGGCTGCTGCCCCAGCTGTCTCTACCAGCTACCAGGCTGCTCCAGCTGTCGCCACCGTCGCTGCTGCTCCAGCTGTGTCCCGCATCACCACCTACCAGTCGGCTCCAGCTGTCGCCACCTATGCTGCACCAGCTGTCTCCCGCGTGACCTACCAGTCGGCTCCAGCTGTGACTAAGGTGTACCAGTCCGCCCCTGTTGTGGCTGCTGCCCCAGCTGTTTCCACCACCTACCAGGCTGCCCCAGCTGTAGCCACCGTCGCTGCTGCTCCAGCCGTCTCCCGCATCACCACCTACCAGTCGGCTCCAGCTGTCGCTACCTATGCTGCCCCAGCCGTCTCCCGCGTCACCTATCAGGCTGCCCCAGCTGTTTCTACCACCTACCACGCTGCCCCAGCCGTTTCCCGCGTCGCCTACCAGGCTGCCCCAGCTGTCACTACCTACAGTGCTCCAGCTGTCACCAAGGTCTTCCAGTCTGCTCCAGTTGTGTCCGCTGCCCCAGCCGTCGCTAGCTACGCCGCTGCTCCAGCTGTGTCCCGTGTGACCACTTACCAGTCCGCCCCAGCTGTTGCTGCTGCTCCAGCTGTGGCCACCATCGCCCACGCTGCCCCAGTAGCCACAGCTGTTGCCACTCCAGTGGCCACCTACGCTGCTGCTCCAGCAGCCGCAACCATTTCCCACGCTACCCCAGCTTTTGCTGCCTACAATGCTGCCCCAGTCTACAGCTACGGTGTTGGAAGCCTTGGCTATGGTGCTGGACACTACGGTCTCGGCCATGGCATTGGCGTCTACGGCCTGAACTATGGCTATGGTCTCGGCACTCCCTTCGACTACACCAACCTTCTCCGCAAGAGGAAGTGTGAGTATATTTTTCTGTTTTCATGCTACTGAATCCAGTTTTTTTTTTCCTCGAATGGAGTGTATAATGTGATTTTTTTTTCTTTTCAGAAATTGACCTGCTCTCCTGAAGACGAAGGATGTTGGAGCGAGAAGAACAGTGCTTTGCCCTTTAGCTATGTTGTTTATATTGTGAAATCATGTTAGAAAATAAATGTTTCCCATCAAAAAAAAGATATGGCTAATATTTTTCAGGATTAGTCTCAGATACCCGTGACATACCAGTGGAAAATAAATAGATAGTCTCTCTGGCGGTGACACTTGCTGAAGCTTACTTCTTCTACACTAATTTACGATCTCCTACTCTTTTGATCGCGTTCTAAACAGCAAAAATGTGAAATTTATATGTCCCATGTCATCCGCAATGCTTAAGAGTAGTTATTTAAGTAATGTTTATTGATTTGTTTTTACTAATCGATGGTCAAGGTCTTGACATTGCCTATGCTTACTCTCATGACAGCTGCCAAATATGTTTACTTATTTATTTAACTACACTGTCAACCAGTACATAGGGTCTTAATCGAAAGGGCCATACACTTACATAAGTTAAATAAGGACGTGAATTATTCTCTCCAATGCTGCTCGGGAAGAGTAAAAATTTAGCCCTTTTTTATTATACATAACTATCAATATTAAGTCGATAGTATCACTTCGTGCTGAAAATATATTGTTGAACACTCGTTATTCCACCTCCAATGTAGTTTTGAAGCAGGTAACATCTTCAGGAATAACAACAGCGTTTCGTACACTGATGAAGATTTCAATGTGATTTTGCAAGAAAAAAATACCGAATTGTATCAGTATCTTACCATTACGGTTTTATGACGCAATCATTCTTATTTCGGGGAATAATTTCAGCTTAAGTCTTTTATTATTTCAGTTAAGAAATCTCATAGGATGGCCGCGTTTCAGTGGCAATAAATGTTTGACCCACTTTTGTTTCTAACTGCCTCAAAAAGATCCAAGTTCTACGGCTTTATCATCAGCGTCAGCGATTCGCTCCTTTCGTATTTCAAAATGAAACGCTGCGTTAGTTTCTGTGTTCTTTCCAGCTTCTTCTTGACCGTCACCTAATGATGACTCCGACCAACAGCGTAATGAAACCTCATGACACATCCTCTTTTATTATGATGTACTTCACTGCAAGCATCTGTGCTACTCAGTGCACTAAAGGTCAGAGGCACTAAAGCTGCTCTAACAGCTTTTACCTGCTCTCCTTGCCACGCGTCTCGCTGCAGATTAAATATCGATTTCGATTCAATATTAGTTTTCATTAGGATTGATCTATGATTTAACTTCGAAAAAAAAAGTTGAAAACAAGAAAGGAGAGAAAAGGACAGACAAGCGCACCCTATCAACCGAATAATAAAGTCTAAGCTTTGCTAAAAGAACGAGGCAATACATAATGGACAAAATAAAAAGCAAGAGGGGGCAAAGCGGGAGGAGAAAAAAAACTGGCAGATCCCCCGTACGGTGGGAATCGATGATATGTGAAGCACGAATGAGGAAGTTGATATGCTGATGTATCACTTTAAAATCAGCACAACGTTACGAGTCGAAGGTAAATTATGCCGTACATAACTTCCACGCCATGATTATAATGTTAAGACATGTCATTTACCTTCGTCGTCTGTTAACCTCACGTAATACCTACTTTGGTATACTTTGGTTCTATTATTCCCCTTTTCCCCCACCCCAAGTGTAGGGTAGCCAACCGAGCCAAGCTTGGTTAACCTCCCTGCCTTTCCTCTCTATTTACCTCTCTCTCTCTCTCTTGGCCTAGCAAAACGGCCGCGAGCGCGCAACAAGCGTAGCATGTAGTCATGTTTTAGATGACACGCATATCGTGATTATCATATTTGAACCTGCCATTTACATTCTTTGTCCATTCACGTCACATAATGCCAAATTTTGTACATGTAGAGCTAGCGAAACAGCCACGAGCACCTCATGAAGGGCCCAATATACTGTGACGTAACGTGGACGCCCGTGCACGCTGAGCGCAGCGACGCTACTCTAGCAAAACGCGATCACTCTATAGCCTAACGCCAGCCGCGACCGGCGCGACCAGCGTCCGTCGGCGCGGCCCGGCGGCAACCAGTGCGAAAAGTGACATTTACACAGACACAGGCAGCACTGCACACGTTACACAGACAGCACCGCGTCTGCCTTTCCTCGCGACACAGGGACGCCAAGTTCGCTCGAGTTCCACCGAAGTGGTCGAGGGGTTGAATGCTTGCTTCCGACTTCCAAGTTCGCTCGAACGGGCATGTGTCAAAGCAACGCAACAAAACGAACGCTGGTTCCCGTTGAAGTGTATATTGGCGCCTTGAGTGTAGCATATACTGATGTTCTTACATGACATGAATCTCATGATTATAATGGTTGCACCAGTCACACGCATAGCTTCGTCATCCGTTCTCGTCACATAATATCAAATTTGGAATATGTGACGCTAGTGAAACGGCCGCACGCGCATCATGAGTGTGGCATGTAGTCATGTTGTTACATGACACGCATGGCATGATTATCATGTTAGGACGTGTCATTTACCTATGACGGCGGTTTGCGTCACGCAATATTGAATTTGGTACATGTGAAGCTAGTGAAACGGCCACGATCGCATCACGAGCGTTGCATGTAGGCATGTTGTTACATGACACGCATCTCATGATTATCATGTTTGCACCAGTCACATACCTTCGCCATCTATTCACGTCCCGCAATACCAAACTTGGTATATGTGAAGCTAGCGAAACGGCCACGAGTGCATCATGAGTGTGGCATGTAGTCATGTTGTTACATGCCTCGCATATCATGATTTTCATGTTAAGGTCTGTCGCTTGCGTTCTCCAAGCAGTCATATCATACCATAGCAGTTTTGCAACATGCCCTGTGAATGAAACCACCGCAACAGCAGCAAGTCCATGAAATGTAAATCATGATATTCATGACATACATGACATGATTTTTATGTTATGACTAGTCAGTTATGTTCGTCATACATTCAGAAATGCTTCGCATTTAAAAGGCCCGAGGGACCAAACAACCAAAAAGCTAGGCCACATCAAGCATCGCACACCCGTCACACAAAACCAAGGTAGCCTAACTCTTTACTTCAGGTATAGAAACAGAGGAACATCAGGTATAGAAACAGAGGGAACACTGACGCTGTAGACTCAGATTTCTTGGTAATATGCGCAGCCTCAATAGGTTTGCGCACTCTGATAATTATGCCGGAATGACACAGACGTATAACAAAGAGCGAAGCACAGTGGCATTTACTACTGTAGGCTAATAGATGAAGGCTGGAGTGGTCTTTCAAAGATTCAAAATGATCTCGAGGTCCAACATTTGACAGTGACTAGTTTGGCCCACGTACACACGAATGCATGCAGTGTTGCCAAATGTCGGAGAAAGAAATAGCAAGATTTCTGCAAAAAGTACCTAAAATTAGATCTAAAGTCCACCTAGAAGCTAGAAAAGTATAATAAATATTTTTCAAACATTTTTAGACCTTTATGTGTGCAACAATTTGCGTTGCTTTTGAGTTTAGGCAGAGCTATAAAGTAACGTTTTCTTGTACTCAACTACACAGAACATGTATGAACGAAAAGAAAAGTGTTCCTGCTTTGCTTCGATTCATTTAGGACAGGCATGGTTTTAGCAAAGCGTCAGGGCTTGCGTGCCCCTCAAAGAGGAGCTGGGAATGCATCAGAGCTCTGTAAAGATCACAGTTGCGAGAATATTGGAAACTTTGGAATAAACAATTGAAGAGCGCGTACTGAAACAACGGAACAACTTTTTGTCTAATAATTTTTAATAAGCAGCACTCAGCAGAAGACCCCAGTGGAACAACGCGTTGAAAAAGCAACGGTCACTTTCATTTTTTTAGTAAAAAATTGTTAAGGTGCCTGTAGTCCAAGGTGCATGCAAGATGCATGCTGGTCAGACGACACCAAGGTCAAGCTGTTAGGAGAATAAGCTCTGCTAATGACTGGCAGAAGGATTTCTTCCTTTCAGCTCCTGCGTGACTGAAGCACATGTCTCTTCAATCTTCTATCATTTTCATCGAATTCCTATCATTTATTCGTCAAATATAGTTTGCCTTTCCCGTGGGAAAGCTGACGAGAAAGCTTAAAGTGTGCTTACATCAAAGCACACACAAAAAAGAATCTACTATTACCTTAAACAAGCGTATGAAGGAATTTTCCTCGAAAGTAATTAAAGGGCAGAGATAAGAACCTGTGGCGGCAGATGGCCATAACTCGTGGGGTACATATAGTCAATTCTTAATATCAGCCATTGACAGAGCATCATCCTTTCCGCTGGATGTGATGCTATCATGCCAATTTCTTAATCGCATCTATTGCCAGGCTTAATTCATGGCATATTGCCTTTTTGTGTGTGTTTGTGTGTGCGCGCCATCGCATTTTGTCGCAAACTAAAAGGAACTAAATTGAACTAAAAATCACGGGTTCTGTTAGTGGCACTCCCTTGATTTTTCTTGCACCTAATTCTCTTTGTATCCAACAAAATCAACAGTTCAAAACACAGACAATGTCCCCTATGATTTTTTTGGAAAAATTGACTGTTAGTTTCTTATATATGTACAAGTGCTTCTCGCTCAGCACTAATAATTCAAAAAGCCTTTCACACTACAGCCATAGCTACCTAAGATAGCTATATACGGAGCTAAATTTTGGATGAAAATGCTAGAACAGCTACATGTAGCTAAATTAAATTTTTGAAAGCTACCAGAGTCCAAAAGTAGCTAGATTTAGCTACAATATAGCTAAATTGGCAACACTGAATGCATGACAAGGGTATAGAGTAGACAACACCGGTGATACAGGATACATATTTATAAATATGACTAACAGTAAATGCATATTTTTGGACATTTTGCTGAATCGCGACAAGTGTATATACTTTGTCACACAAAGTGGATAACTTCTTCCCTACAGAAATGAGCACTTGTGTGTCATATCTTGATGCAGCCTGTTTTAGACGGTGGTTAAAACCATATTTCATGGAATAACAACAAATTTCTTATGGTGCGTCTTCTCATCTAAGTTGCACCCATCAACAAGACCTCTTTTTAAATTCCTAATCAACATCTCGCAGACATTTACTAATACATCCCGTGAAACTCTGCTTGTCTCAGTTTTCGC